CTTTCTTTCTTTCTTTCTTTCTTTCTTTCTTTCTTTCTTTCTTTCTTTCTTTCTTTCTTTCTTTTTCTTTCTTTCTTTCTTTCTTTCTTTCTTTCTCTTTCTTCTTTCTTCTTTCTTTCTTTCCTTCCTTCATTTATTTATTTATTTCTCTTTCTTTCTTTCTTTCTTTCTTCTTTCCCTTCCTTCCTTTATTCTGTTCTTATAACTTATAATTTTCAATGATTTTGAAAAAAGGTATGCTGTATTAATAGTTGGTTGCCCAAATATGTTAATTATTATCATTACCAAATTCATAGCTGTTTTGAAATCTGAATTATACTGCAGCCATAGGAAGCCAGAAGACAATGAAAATACGAACATTTATATTATGTAAAGATAAATTAGGGACATGCCATGTTTATTTGAAAATGTGACCATGATATAGATCTTAGTTGACATTTTTAAAGACCTAGATTATGAACGCATGGCTCATAAATGTACAGCACCCAAAAGCATAACTGCTTTCATACACATCTAATCCACAAATGTTATATAGTTAAAAAAAAACATAAGGCTCCAGCTAATACAAACAATGAACTCAGTTTTATTACCCATTAATGCTGTGTATTTTCCCTAACCTGAATAGACCAGGAAGTCAATATTTTTCTCTTAGACACATTCTTACTTAAAAAAACTCCCAAAAATATGTTTCTTCAACCATTCATAGCTATTTAAAAAAAACTTGAAATAAGGCAAGGAAATAAACAGGCCATCAATGTCCTCATGGTTTTGATTATTTTAAAAAAAGAAAGAAGATAATTCAATCTGTCACCAGACTTCACAAGGTTTTAATTACACACCTAAGTATATTGTATGTTAATGTTCTCTCAGAAAAAAAAAAAAAAAAAAATACTGCAGCTTTGCAGTTTTAGAAGTGAATTATTTTTGCCACGATTTTTCTTAGTACAGGGGAAAGACATTTTATCTTATGCAAATTGAACAGATTAAAAAATATAACTGGCATACCAATATATTGAATTCAGGATATGCTGCTGTTGCCTACTGTTATGTTTCCTCATGAATATATTTGGCCAATTAACAACTATATTTATTAAATAGAGGGAATATACATATTGAATAATTGCTGCCCTAAACTGTTGGCATATATCTGTATATGCAGAGGTGCACACAAACATACACACATACGTAAACATATTATATGTGAAATTCAATAGCCAAGAAAAGAAAAATAAGGCAAACGCAGCAATTCCTATCATTCTTTGCATCAAATATATTGAATGTAGAAGTAGAAGATATTAGTAAATGAAGCTATGCCTAAATGAAGAAATATATTCAAATAATGAGAAAGAACAATTCTTGAATTTCCTCATGGCCTTCTGTCCTGGTATAACTTACCTTAATTTGCTTAGTTTTCCAGCTCAGCAGAATCAAATTAATGTTTAGATGTTTTCATATCAAAAATACAGTGGTTGCAACTTTTCTGAATCATCACCTGAGATCAATGAAATTAATTTAGGGACGAGCAGACTCTGAACTGACAGTAGGTGGCATACAATAAAATTGGAATAGAAAATACAATGCAATAATTATTAAAAAAAATACATTCTCCTCCCCACTATGGGTATTCCCAAAACTATTAACATGTAGCAAGAAACACATCTGTTGTAGCTACCACAACATCTTTAAATGGACAAGAACATTTTAGAATATTGGAGGGGGGGAGAGAATTAAGGAGCCAAAAAACACAGTTGCTCTAAACTAATTAAGAAAATAGCTTTCACTTCCTCTGGTGATAACTGGGGTTACTGAATACAATCTTCTGCCATCTCTATCTCCCTCAGAGTAAACAAACCAACAATCAAAATGCTTCCTTTGGCTTCAAAAAAGTGGGCACATTCAGTTTTTGTATGATTTAGTCCACCAGGTGTTCCACATTGCAAAACGGTAAGAAGCATTTGCTCACTGGCATCCTTTACGAGAGATCATGCAGGAGAAGAGGAAGTAGAGCTGGGGGGTGGAGTTAAGTGCACAAATGGTCCAAGTGCAACCCTCCTAAATTCTGTTGACCCTTATCTCACACAAATTTAGTGTTGAACTTAATGTGAGGATCAGGACCACCCATTAAGTTGCAGCACAGATTTATTCAAGCCTACACACAAAAATACAGTCAACTAAAGTTCACTTAATATGTGACTCTAATTCTTCACGTCTGACATTTATCTAGTCTACTAATGGTCAGCGCTAAATTGGCACTACATAAGAGTGAACAGAATTTAAGAGGGATTGGACTTAGACTGCTTGTGGGAATGGAATGATTCTAGGCTGATCCATCTCTTAACTCTCTCCCTCCTGTCCTCCTCCTCCTATAAAAATTAATGTACCATCAACGTGCTGCTGCTGCTGCTCAATATCTATTAAAAATTGATTTACTTTGTGAGGTACAACTATCTGAATTTTCAGATGAAATCATTCTCAAGCTAGCTAGACATGTTGCAGACTGAAACTATGTAAATGCCATTTGGCCTGCCCCTGAAATAGAGGATCTCTGCAACTTTCCTCTATTTGGTGCACCTGTCACAAAAACCTTTTTGCTCCCTCAGAATTTGCCAAGTCAATATAAAGTCTCATCAACACAGACATTAGGTGTTCAAACCAAAGCCAGGGAATTGACATAAATATTATACAGTCTGGGCAAAAATAGGGTCAAAGAGTTGCGCGTGTTCCTAATTGCTATAGGAAGTAAGTATCAGCCCCTCCTAATTTCCCATCCAAATAAATACAATATTGTACTCAAAATCAGAAGTGAGAGCTTGGATAGACTAGCTAAGCCCAGAGAGAATGTGTGTATATGGATTTTTCTATTTAGAGAGGCAATTGCTTACAAAATATCTCCTATCCCAGATACTGGGTAAATAAGTACCAGTTTAGCCTCCAAGCAAATGTTTGTTTATCTTACTTTTTCATTTTTTCTTCTAGCTTACTTCTGACTTAAAAAACTAGTAGATAAGGATTATTTGCCCTCCTTTTGTATGTAAAGAATGTATTTCTATGTCTTGTGGGGGCGTGGCAACTGGCCCTGTTATAAGTCTCTGATATAAGCACATATTAATAATAAAATATAGTTCCTGTTGATTAGTAATTTTGTCATACAGTGCCAGACTGACTTCTGGCTCCAAATTTTAAAAAAAGAGATTACTTTAGACTTTTATGATTGCTGTGTGCAAAAGCCAAAATCTAATTTCTCCTCTGGTATGGATGCACTTCAGGATGTTCTTCATTTGGTACAAAATTCCTAGAGCATTAAATGGTTCTCAGCTGATACTAAAAATGAACTTCCTATTTATTACTCAGGCAAAACTCTTTGAAAGTTGCAAACATTTAAATCCCTGCTTAAATATTTATAAGAAATTAAAGTAGAGCATTGACAGCTTTCATTTGCAGACACTTTGTTTTTTCACAATAAATATTGTCGAATCTATATCCATTTAAGTTAGAAATAGCAAAGTCCAGAAAAAACAAAGCTAGCACTATTTCTTCCTGGTAGTAAGTGTCAAAGTGGACTAGATGTCTTGTTTTCTAGCAGAATATCTTTTTTCTCTTGAGTTTTATTTTAATCATTATCATGTATACATGCTTGTTCTTTCTGTATTACCACCATTGCATTTTCATTTACTATATTTTAGTTATTATACTTTACCAATAGAAATTACTTTTAAAACGTAACAACCCAACATTATAATCTTGCATTACAAACAGTACAGAGAATATACATCAGATTCATAAGTAGTTCCAAGAGGTCACAAGAGGAACAAGTAAGGACTTGTAAATGAGAAGCAGAAACATGGTTTTTCATCCTGTCCTATGATGTACATCCTGTCCTATTCTAATATTACAGGACTGAATGTTTTACAAAGAGAAAAATTTGTGGACTGTGGTTGTTCTTTTCCTGATATAAAAGCAGATGATTAGAGCAAGACAAAGCAATTAGCATTAGCCAATTTTCTCCTTTTTGAGTCCCCGGATAGCTAGCAGAAAAACAATGTAGAGAGCCATTGCATCTTTACAGGTCCTAAAAATATCTTTAAAAACAGACCGCATAACTATAAGACTTAGTTCTTTAGAAGATGCTCTAGTGCTGGGAAAAGAGGAAAGAAAGAGAAGAATAGCATGACTTTCAGCAAAGTGGATGGATTGTTATGATGGCAATGTTGGAAAATCAGAAAAACAGAGTTTAGGGGCGGATTACCATGCAGAAAATCTGTCTATGTGGTTGCTAAAAGTCAACATAGACTTGATGGCACATAATCAATCAAAAATTAATTAGAAATATTATGTGAAAATAATTTATATACATCTGTATTATTCAACTCATTTTCAGAGTGTGTTCAAGGATGCATGGAAGATCGTAGCCAAAATATCTACACTTCTTGGTTAGAAAAATAAACAATAGAGAGCAAGTTTTCCTGTCATATAATTTCTGTACAATAGATGCCTTCTATTTGTAATGTGTTAGGCATTAGATGCAATCACAAGACATTGCAGGCCTGGACAATTTGCCTCCTATAATAATAGGTCTTCAATTAAACGTAATCTAAAAATCCTAGCAATGAATCATCCCCAATGGTCAGGTTACCATAGTAAAGAACAACAAAATGGTAGCCATCATAACTTTCCATTTCTATTAGTCCCTTGCTTTTCTACAGAATAATCTGCCATTCATTAAGAATTGGTTGCTAATTAATTTATAATATTTCATAATGCTAATTTAGAAGATGAAAAAAAATGCACTTCTTCTTCAAGCATTTGGTACCTTCCTAAACCTAACATGTTGCTGAAATGGAAGAACAAAACAGATCATGGTCTGGCTGCTCTAGGGCATAGATGACAGTTCAAAGATATATTCTAATGTCCATCAAGCAAATGAATGAATATTCTACTGATCATTCCACAAGGAAAGGCCATTAGACATTTTTGATGGAGATAATCGTCTATTCACTTACCAATTGTGTAGTATCTCTTCAGTTCACCCTTCCGTGGGTTGCGCCGCTGGGAATTTGCAGTGTTTTTCTGCTCCTCTTCAGATGTTGTTGTGTTGTTAAGAGCTGTGGGCTTAGTTGGTTGCAGGGCATGTTGTGCTGCTGATGGCAGAGGATCATAACCTGATGCAGAAATTTCAATAGACTGGGATTTTTTCTTTAGTCTAAAAGGAAAATAATATAATATACTATTAACAGGTATGAATGATTACATGATTCAACTTTTCTTACAAAATACAAAATTTTGTATTACATGTATCACTGTTGCAAGATGCAAGTGGACACACAGTGCATGGACAAATAATAGTTTCTAGTTCAAAAGAGGTTAAAGTTGTAGCTGAGCTGTCATCATTAGAAGAGAGCATCTTTAGCAGAGTTTATTTGGAAAGAACCTTGAACTTGAGCAATTGTAATTAGAATAACTGCAATCTTCCCGAATACTTTTTCAGTTTATATATATAAATAAATGCTTTATTTAGTGGCATCTCTACCTCTGGCTAGTATTTCATTTACAAAATCCTGATGCTTAGATTCTGTTGTCAACAAATGCCAGGTCCCAGAGGATTTTGTCTTACTTCTTCTAAGTTATAAGTTTGAATGCAATTCATTTCTAAACTTTTGTAAACCTAGCTAGCCCAAAAGGTACAGCATAAATATATTTCACAAATAAACAGGACACTAAAAGGCACATGTAGAAAATATATACAGTAAATGAAAGCAATGCATGTAATACATGTATATTTTTATGCGATTGTGGTCTAAAGATCACCATTTACTTATATTTTTTTTCCTTATAGAAAAAGCTACATGTGTACCCCAGAATACATTCCTAGTTTATTTATTAAGTAGTTATTGCACTTATATCTCACCATTGTTTGATGATTCTTGTCAGCTTACAGCTGATAGAAAACTTAAAATATTTACCATACAATTAAAAATATATAATGACTTCATTAAACCTTAAACAAGAATAAATAAAAATTGAAAAACAAATAGAAAGGTTGCAAAATGTTTAAATTAAGAAAATTCCTTCTGGCATAATTAAATTAAGGTACAAGAGACCCACTAGTATAAATCTAAGCAAAATATTCTAACTTTGGAAGAATTTAAGGATATTTGGTAATAATGCACTCAGAAGTTACTTTTATGACTGTCTGTGATCAAAATGGATTTAAAAGAGGTAATAAAAAAAGGAACAACTGAGACTGAAGTTGAATTGAAAATGGGTTTTAAAATGATAGACTACAAGACTGGTATGGAAAAAGATGTTATGTTGAATTTACAAATGAAACTGGATGATGGCTAAACATATTGTACAAACAATAAACCAAAAGAAGTGCTTGGATAACATTTTATCTTGAATTTACAAAAAAGATATGTCAAATTTGCTTGCAGTTAAGAGATGAGATATAAGAGGAAGAGTTCTTTTGTTGTAGTACCAGAAAAGTGATAAGTTACTGCAATTGTTTGTACTTGTAATGATGGATGTTTATATACCTTTTTTCTTTTTTATTAATGTTTTTTCTTTTTTCTCTTTTTAAAAAAAATGTCTGCACTTTTAAAATATTTTTTTATCTTTGTATCTGTAAATTTTAATAAAACTATTATAAAATAGAATTTTTAATTTTTAAGGGTAAACGTTAACTTTTCTCTTACTGCTTTATTTGTTCACTCAAAAATACAAAAACAGGTGAAATTTGCAGCAAATTCTTACTCACGCATAATGCTAAATTATAATGAGGTTTTGTCATAGCACAATGTTTGAATCCTACACTTTACAGCTTGTTTAACAACCTTGTCTTTTTTCAAAAAGTAAACCAACTTAACGTAATGATGAACCAGGCCATACTTCCACCTTGACTCTAGCAAATTAAATTATAAACTTTGATACTGAAAGAAAAATTCAAATGAGTTCAGGCAGACTGCCAAGATGAAAGCATACTGTGTGATTATATTTACAACAGGATGTCCTTTCAAGTTTGATTTTTGTGTCATGTCAAAATAACAGTGAAAACACAGCCCATTATCTCCTGAAAAAATAAGCCATCTTGGATTAAGGCTGGAGATGATGAGCTGAAATTATAAACACCAACAACTCATTTACCAAATTTTTTGATATTTTTTTTAAAGATTCTTTTTAATTTAGAAGCAATACACAGAAAGTTGGCAGTACAATAATATGGGCCAAAGGCATTCTTAGTGGCCATGGAAACAAACAATAGAAATAAATGGCCAATTTTATTCCTGGAGGGAAATAAGGAGTTCCTTAATGACATGCTTTGGAAAACACTATTTTAAATTGGTCATAAATTACCAAAGGTTACATTAAGCAGAGACCTAAGTTTGCAGATTTATACTGAGCTTTCCAGGGTGGTAAAAATGAAAGAGTCTTTGTAAAATGGGTGAATTGTCAATAAAATGGGAAAATGAAGCACCTTAGGAGGTTAAGGATTGATCGTCCTGTAGAAAATCTACCTATGGAGTTGCTAAGAGTTGAAAACAACTTGATTGCACATAATCAATCAATCATCAATCAATCAATCAATGTACATATAGAACATAATGGGAGAAAATAGATTAAATCTGTAAGAAATGTTCTAGAGATCAATAACATTCATGCTCATTTTAATAGAGCTATACTTGCTTTCTCCGAGTAAGTTATCTTCATGGAAAGTGAAATACTGAACAAGAAGCATTGTTATAAAGATACATAAAGAATATTATGTGTCTTTAGTTGTTAAGTTTTCTGTTGAAAACTCTCAATTTCAATGTTTTAATAAGTAATAGATAAATTTCAATTTCTGGGTAAGTGCAAGGTTCTTCTTGCCCTAATACTATCTTTTACATTATGGAGGAAAGTTGATTTTCAAGGATTGTAAACTTTGCTTGTCCTTTAAAGTGGACTTTTCTCAGTGTTGCATCTTCCATTTCACAGGCATTCGTCAAGACATCATAGAATTCTCAACTATTAATCAATGATTAATAGGGTTAGGGTTGTATTTTCCACCTTTACATGTGATAAATAAAACATTAAAGAAATTTTAAAAATTCGTCAAGAAGAATTTTTTATCTACTGACAGTTCTTTGAGTTTTTTTCCCCAATTTTCACATTCTGTATTGCTTTGTAAACAAGAAGCAGATCACGTAAATTAATTTTTTCTCTTATCACAAGCAAAGATTAATTGCATTAAAATTGTCTTTTTCATTATTCCAGAAAGAAAACAAGCATAATTATATTATATCACTGAGTTGTCCTAACAAACAGCAAATCTACTGCTTTGGTACCCCGTTCTAAAAAGACGTATACATATCAATTAACTTTAACTCTTTAACTCATATGTCAGAGAATATGAGTTAATATGTTTCCATATTTTCAAATGCATTGTACTAGATAACTAAGTAAAAAAGAATGAAGTGGAAAAAGAAATAAATCAAGTATTATGGAGAAGAAGACAAAATAAACACACATAATCTTTAAATATATATCATGGGTTTTACATTCAGTGACATGAAGAAGAAGGCCATTCCAATAACACTGCAAAGCTGTGGGTTTCTTTTGAGAATCAGAAACCTTCCTCTCTACCCTCAGATCCCCTCCAGCAAATATCTTATATAATTTCAGAAATCCAAAAGGAAGTGATGGTGGTGGCGTTGCTGCTGACCTTCGGCACTGTGGAACACTCAGTTACTTGAATAATTGTCTGTTCCTGTGTACTTGGCTTGATTGTGCAGAATTACTAGCAAGGCCCCAGGGGATTCAATAAAGTTGTAGAAATAAATAAAGTTGAACAAACTGGTAGCGATCTGCCATGAAAAGCAAAGAAACAACATGGGGGCTAGACATCTAGGTGCCCATAGGTCATACTAGGTAGGAAGCAGAATAGAAAAACAGAATTGAGAACTTTCCAAAGAGCTGAGGAAGGCTGTCCATGGAGTTGACAGGAAGAAATGGAAATTACACCTTGGGGAAAAGGTATAAGAAGTGTGGGATTCCATACAAAAACACAAACCCAGGATCATCATTTTATTTACATCCTGTCTTTGGGACGGAGGAAGACAACTCAAAGCTTTATATATAATGAATCTTGTTTATATTTTCTCTGCAACTGGAAAGAGAACTGTTATTCAGTTAGATTCCATGACCAAGGGAAGGCTAAAACTCTCATTTAAAGTGAGAGAGGAATTGCTGGTCTGCTTGCCTGCAACATAGGTGCAAGTGAGCTAATACTGGGGACAGTCAGAGGACACTAGCTTGTGACAGCTGGGTGGGTCAAGCTGGGTGAGCAAAGATGGCGAGCAGCCAACCTGGCTTTGGATTAGAGCCTTCAAGAAAGTGACAAAGGAATCAAGCAGAGCAAGTAAAGAAGAGGACAATGGAGCGTGCTCCCTGAAACTTGTGCAAGGCAACTAAGATTGTTGAACTGTGTGAATATTTGGGGGCTTAAAATTTTGTAAAAAAAAGGGGGGGTGTCTGTTGGCTATTGGGTAACAGAAGACAAACTGCATTTTCCAAGGACACCTCTGTGGATAGGGAGAAGTTTAAAAGCTATAGTGTGAAAACATTATTATGTATTTGTGCAGATCTACCTATAGATTAGTATGTTTCTTGTTTATTGCAAACAGCAAAATAGAACTATTTTAACTTCTAGTTTTGTATGCCAGTAACAAAGCAAAGTTGTTTGTTCAATATTAAGTGTCATATCTAAGGGGTCTTATTGCATCTGTGCAGGGTGGGGAAAACATCCCTTAATGGATGGAGAGGTGGCAGCAGGTTTGGTTAAAGCGTGTTAGAAAAAAATAAGTGACAGGAAGGGACTCTCTATGGCTGGGAGTCCTTTGGGGCAGTTTCTCAAACTCAGAATTAACTACTATGGATGGAGCCACACCTACTTTCACATGTATTGGAATTGTTACTTCACATTTTAAGCCTTCTGTCAGTCTTCTATAGTCCAGGCAAGAAACTAAAACCATGAGTGCTCACACTGCCTTTATTGTAAGGTTATAATAAAAGAATCTTGCACGTCTGAACACACCTCCCCTTCCCTGCCTTTACTTTCCAAAGAAGAGTCCCTTCTGAGATGCATTCTCTGTAGGCTGAAATATCTTTTTCTGACCATTGTCTGGGCTGTAGTTCTTCATCCTGTGTCCCAAGGTTATTCTCACC